TTACGTTGTTGTGACTCAATTGCGTAGAACGTAAGGTCAAGTTTGGTGGGGTGGGCCACTTACTGGGGTGGGCCGCTTACTGGTGGAACACGTTAATATAATAGCGTACGTAAGACTACTTAGATTAGTATTAGTAGTAGCGTTACTTAGAGGTATATAGAAGTTTATAGAATATTAAATAAGCCTTAATTTAAATAGACACCTATAGGTCTTATATAATAGAATATTAAAAATCTATTTACTAAGCTACTATAGAGGTTAGGCTATATAGTCGTTCTTCCACTAGGCTAAATCACGCTCTAGTTTAGATGCTATTCGGATATATGTAGAAACGGGCACTAAGCCGTTATAGGTAAGAAGATATAAGAGATTAGAGTAAAATATAAGTATTTAACTCTTAGTAACATAGATAGGCTAATAGCTTCTTACCTATTAAGGTAGTCTCTTACTATATTAGGTAAAAAATATAGTTTATATATAGGGCTATAAAATAGGCTACTTAGCATCCTAATTAGGTAAGTATTAGTAGAGTAAATTTAGAAAAATCATCCTCTAGTAGAGACCTAACTTACTTCGCTAAACTTAGTAATATTTATTTTAATTAAAGTAAAGCATTATTATATATAGAGAGATTTTTTGAAGTAAAAGAATATTAAAAAATGTTAAATAAACAATAGAAAAGAAAAGTGTAAAGCTAAAGTATCGATGATTAGTGCTAAGCTCTCAAGCTAAGTCAAAGTGGAGCTACTGCTGTGGTCACATGAACAACACAAGGTACGCCTAAACACGGCGCGCAGCGTTGAATACGACGCGCAGCGTTGGACATATACAATCCAACTAGAATCCAAGAATAGCGGCGTTATGCTATCGCTACTTGCGTATCTTAGTTTCTGGGTACACATGTTATCTCGCAATATATTCCTGTTCTGGCATTATAGGGCGTAATATCATCAATGTTTATGGAACATCTAGGCTGCCATCTGCGGAGCTGCTTGCCTTATAGTCGGGCGAGCGCCAGGAAGAGAATAGTGTATCCGTAAATATATGTTCAATACACTCTATTCTCCAGCTGGTATGCTAGGCTATTCTCTCTTGGGCCATCGTTCATGCACTCGTCCGCACATATAACGGGTCTGTTCTACCTTTGAGCAAAACAACAGTTTAACAAGAACTTCACTATCGTCTCCAGATCCGACAGAATTCGATCTTGTAGCCTTTGCCAAGATGCAACACTTTGCCATTTTTCTCAGCTTCATTGCTTCTGCAATGACGGCGGCAGTCCCTCCCTCCCTACAACCGCCCTTACCTATTGGAGAGATTGGCTGGCAGGGCTCTGTCACTCCCGGTGGACCTACGATAGAAGTTTGTGTCAAGATAAATTGGTGGAAGTAGCTGCTTATTCTAATAGAACTCAGAGGTAGAGGTCTCTGCCTTCTACTTGTTCCTAGTAGACTCAGAGGC